CTCCAGCTGCTATTATTTATGCAAACTGTTCACAAAAGAAGCTCAACTATTCATTATGGCCCCAAAGGGTTGTGTTCATCCATGCCCCTGTGTCATTGCTGAGGTTAATTACTTGGTCTGAAACTCTTCTTCCTTCTCCTCCACTGCTGGACGAATTAAGAGTCCAAGCACAATGGAAAGGCAAAGTCTTATTCGTCCCTTCTCTTCACTTTATGCACATCTATATTTTAGCAAATATTATGGTCGCCATAATTATTTACCTATTCCTCTGCCTATTTCCTGGACCCTAAAACCTCCTTGAGGGCAGAACACTGCCATTCAGGGTTTTGAATCTTTCTATGCCCCCACCCAAAATAGGGACTAGTTTAACATAGACTTTCAATAAATGTTCCACTTCCTTATTTTGAATTATACGGCCATAAAAAAGATATTATTCTCTCATTTCTTTTCCTAGTAAAAGTAGTTTTAAGGGGTCAAGCCTGCCAGTTTTTAAAAAGACTGAAAGAAAAATTCAGGGATGTAACTGCATTGCCTTTAGCTACCTGCAGTTTGAGGACATAATCTTTTATGATTGCCAACGACTTCATATTTTGTAACACTTCAACTGTCCTGGCATATTACTTGCAGAAAGTATTACAGAGGTAGACATTGAATCCCATCTCTGTCAGGTAGTCGCACAAACAAGCAAAACTTCTAGCATGAATTTATAACGCTTAAAAACATAAAGGCAGTTCAGGAACTCTGGTCCCTAAAAAAAAGAAAGCAAAGGCTACATTTTTAGTAACATCTGCTGGACAAGCATAAAAGATGAACTTAGTCACATTTGCTAGCTTCTATGATGAATAATGCATTATCAAAGCAGAGAGACTGCCTGTGTATTAAAATAACGCTAATGTGGAATAATCAGCAGTTATTTTTAAAGAATCAAATAGTTACAAAGTAACAGAAATAGTTGTTTCACTTTTATTTTTGTTTCTTATTTCAGCTCTGTGAGTTAGAATGACAGGAAATACTAATTTAACTAATTCTACTATCACTAAACTGTATGGAAATATCAGGTTTTCTTTTAAGTGAAAAAGTGGCATATTTTGTCACATAGTTTCAAAGGAATTACTGTAATAAATGATGGAAAGACTCATGTAACGGGCTGACACATGGAAATGGGCACCACGGGCCAAGTTCCCAAACATGACTCCCATTTACTTATTCTAGCATCTGACTAATTCTCTCTCTCTCTCTCTCTCTCTCTCTCTTTGGCATTACACATTCAAAAAAACCATCCTCCTGGGAGAAGTAGTTTATTAAACTAATTCACACTAAAATACTGGTGACATATAAGGCCTATTTTCTGCATGAAGTCAGGACCCCTAAGGGTACGCATACTTGAGAACAGAGGGCAGAAAGTCCCGCTGAGATATGGGGCTCTCATGAAAATATTCTGTTAGGAGACATCAAGGGGTATTTCAGAACCCATACCTATGCTTTCCAGTGAAATAGTCTGGGGTGATCTCATTTGGGTCTCACACAGGTAAATCATTGTACAAGAAAGGTAGCAGACTTCCACCAGGCATTACATTGGGAATGGTCGAGCTCCTCCTAGCTTCGTCCAACTCTTCTTCCCTGGGCTATGGGGCTGTTAAAATCTTAGATTCATTGGCTTTTTCTCTGAAACCCATAGAGGGTAAACATTCGATATAGAGCAGTCAGACTGCTTTTCTTCAAAATAAGACTAATTCATTCTAAACTCTATGAGGGCAGTTACTGTATTTGTTTCAGCTCAACTGTTTATATTATTACACAACATTGTACCTAATACACAGTATGAAGAAGGCACTTATGAAATATAATTGTGAATAGTTGAATGAAAAGAAAGTATGAAGAAACGCTTGCAGGAAGTTTTGTTGTTACTGCTTTTCCTATACTAAACGGATACTTACCTTAGAAACTCTATCTACTTCATGTCTTTGACGCTTTGGGTCAGCAGAAATGATGGGAAGAAAAAACAAAGAACATATGTTACCATAAAATTTCATAAAACTACACTTCTCCACTATCCACAAGAATCAAGGCATAAACACATAGTAAGGCCACAGGCATAAAAATATATATAGTAAATGAGTTGATTCAGAAGTAGCTATGGTCAGATATTTTGGTCCGATGTTGTGACATTGAATTAATTATTAATTGAGACCAACCATCAAAAACAGGTAACATAAATGACATGCATTGTACCATTTTGAAGATCAAAACTTAACTGAGCACCTGAACAGAGTCCCGAAGTGTCAAAGCTCTGGACAGACAGCAAAATGAAGGTAGGGCTAGCTGAGCCACCATTTATGGAGCTGCATTCAAGTCAAGTCCCCCAATGCATTTGTGATCATAGAATTCTAAAATGTGTGGGCCAAGTGATCATCTCCTCTTGGTTTTTAAAGAGGTGGAGTTTAAGTAGAAGACTAAGTACAATCCAAAAAGAGAAGCAGTTACTAGTGGCTTCCCTTTATAGCAATAATAGATATTTTGTTTTAAATACAGATTTTTAAAATGGAAATTACCCAACAAAATCTCATAACAGCAAGTAGACAAAATTAAATTATTTCAATTTTGTGTGCATGTTGGGGGTGGGTTACATATCACAGGTTTTCAAATAGGTGGATCTTGTTCTGATATATTGTCAAGAAACAGAAACAATATTTCTAATAATATGCCTTTTTATTTTGAATCTGGGGGCGTATTTCTGGGTGCTAAGTTGAAACTTCAAAAATAAGAAGTTAAAAAGTAAATCCAGTAAGAGAAAAACATTGAAAGTCTTAAAATGTCTACTGTTAGCCGGGCTCGGTGGCTCAGCCTGTAATCCCGTGCCTTTGGGAGGCTGAGGTGAGTGGATTGCCTGAGTCCACGGGTTCGAGACCCGCCTGGGCAGCGAGACCTCATCTCTACAATAAATCAAAAAATCAGCCAGTCGTGGTAGTGCATGCCTGTAACTCCAGCTACTCGGAAGGCTGAGGCGGAAGGATCGCCGGGGCCCAGCAGGTCGAGGCTCTGGTGGCTGGGAGTGGCCACTGCACTCCAGTCTGGGCGACAGAGTGAGACTCCAACTCAAAAAAAAAAAAAGTCTACTGTTACTAGTGTTAGTTTGTTCTTCTTCTCTCTCTTCCTTCCTCCACCTCTCTCTCTTTCTCTCTCTCTCTCTCTCCCCCCCCCACTTGCTTCTTTCCTTCCCTCCCTCCCCTCTGCTCTCCTCTCCTTTCTCTTCCTTTCTCTTTTCTTTCTCTTTTCTTTTCTCTCTTTCTTTCTCCCAATTAGATAGTATTCTGGCCATGAATAATAAACCCAAATATTTTATAAGCCCCAAACACAACTAAAGTCATAAATTAAATGGTAGATCACCCTCTGCTTCAGATATATTCAATTAATAGACCACTTAATGGGTCAATTAAGAAGAGTGCAACACATCTAAGAAAATACATTAACATACTTTCTCCTAAAAAGTTTGTACTCCAAAAAAGTTTTCACTGTTTCCTGTTTTGTCTCACAGTCCTTTCTAATTTCCGCTGGTATAAATCAATTTAGATTTATTAGCTTTGTACAAAAGAGCTCCAGTAAATTTTTAATAATAATCATCATTATCACTGATTAAAGTTATATTGTTCAGGCCAGATGGAATTCTTTTCCTGTCAGCTACAATGAGCTTGCATTATGTAGTTATAATGTGTTTGGATCTAAATAAACAGATGGCAGAGTGACAGGATATTATACACTGGTGATGTCAGCAGCAGTGCCTCACAAAGGGAATTGCTTTAAATAAACTCCGTTGAAGCAAGAATCTTGACACTTTTAAGATGACTGAAATTAAGACTAGGTGTTATATTAACTTGGAAATGGTACTGATTACTTCTAGAAACTAGACCATCAAAAATGGTCTGAGGTTCAGCTAGAGAAACTGTGTCTTCTGAATGCTCACTTGGGCTGTTTCATGGCTCACTTGGGCATGGCTCACTTGGGCAGTTTCATCGGAGGGAAAAAAGTCCTCCAAGGTGTAAGAACTTCCAAGCTGAGGAGTTAAAAACTGTGAGCCAAGAAAAGATGAAAACATTCCATAAAACATGATTTGGTAATATTTATGATATACTTTGTAAAACTCTTTGAATAGAAGTATCCCATTAACAATTAATATCAGAAAATTGACAAAGAAGTCTTCATGAGAAGCATGATATGGAAAGGCTTGGCTTTTAATAGATTTTCATGTCTATCGTTCATTTTAAAAATGAATGATGTGCCCACAGAATGTATAACGCACCTACGAAATTCAGAAACAAGGTTCGAAAAAAGTCATTTTACATAACTTCCTCCAGTTAATATTCCTTATTTTGAATTCAGATGAGAATTTTTCTGTGTAGCAACAAGATGAAGATGCCACTATAAGAGATTAAGGCTTATATTTAAAAATGCAAATAGTATCAAGAAAAAATTTAGAAGCATATACTAAATCAGTGACATTAAGCTTTCAAAATATAACTTTTTTAAATGCATACTTTTACCTTTTATTCTGATATTTTGACAAGTGTTTGTAAGAACATGCTCCTGTTTTTTGTAGATTTCAACTTCTTTTTAACTATTGTTTTACCTCTTAATACCTGTTGTGATCAGTAAGATGTGATCTTTGGAAATGATATCAAGCAGAATACATCAACAGAATAGCAATGTTCAGTAGCCAAAGTTAAACATATTTAGTATAACTATTTACTTATGACTTTCTGAGAAAAATTATAAATTCATTTATTTCCTTTCCCTATGAAACAACGAGACATTTTAAATACCAGGGATTTTACTTCAGTTTCACATATACTGAACATTCAGGTTTTTCTACGTAAGTGAGCTATGGGCAATGGTTCAACTCTAGTATGACATTAAAATCCTCAATAAAGGAGCAAGAGTGTTTGAGAAGTCACTTCTGGTCAAGAGTAAAGATTATAATGCTCATGTCTTTTCCTGTTCTACAGGTGGACGTTGCCATAAATCTTGCACTGGTCGATGCTGGGGACCCACAGAAAGTCATTGCCAGACATGTAAGTGTTCAACAGTGAGAATACCTAGGTTTGCCATGGTCAAGGAATTCTAATGATTGATGCATTTCACACTCTGGTCATCTCAAACATAAAAATGAGCTTTTGTCTCCTTGTGGTAGATTTGCATTAATTCAAATAAACCACCTAATTTCATTGCTTTCAAGTGAAACATAATAAGTCATTGCTTCGTATGTTTCTTCATGGTTTCTAGGTTAATGACCTCAATAGCACAGCTGTGGTGATATTAGCTATAACTTTAGAGTCCATATATCAGTATATCTTATTTAGACTCTATATGTTAGAAGTAGGAAATCTAAAAGTATGCCAAATGATAACTGAATTTCAAGTTAACTGGATATCTCAGAACATTCCCCAAGTATTTATATCACCATTTATTTATTAGAAAAAGAAAAAGAAGGAAAAGAAAGGATACTATGTTCCCACATATTTCGGGCACTGTTCTAGGTATAGGGATACAAACTATGTGAATTATGGATATAGATTCACTATTGTTGACATGAATATTGCCTTTAGTAAATATTATCTCTTGAATTAGTCATTAGCTAAAGTAAGTATGAAGCTATTATCATTTCTTTCTTTTTTGTGGGTGGGGGAGCAGGATTTATTGAAAGGACAGAAAAGCTCCCAGAACAGAAGGGGACCCAAGGGGGTTGCCCGCTATGATCATTTCTAAGACATTTAAAAACAAAGCATACTGAATATACAGACAGATATCTAGCTTTTCCAGCATTTTGATGTTATATGGTACTCAAACCTGCACTGAACATTCACTAATCTTAAGAATAAATGGCGTCGTAAAAAGTGAAAAACAAAATGCCCTATACAGATGGTAAACATTTGTTCTTCCTGCTGCAATAAAAACAACTGAAATAATTTATGGAAAACAGTATAGTTACAATTTGACATGTATTTCTTTATTAGCATAGATGACACATAGAAAATGTTACTGATGATCTGACATAAAATACTAGATATTGTGGAAATTTGTTAGACTGTTGAATGATAGGTTAGAGATTTCTAATTTGTCTCAGAATTTTCTAGATTCTGTTTTAATAAAGAAATACAAAAATAATTACTTTATTATGAGTCACCAAAGAAAAATGTAGGAAAGGTGTGTGTGTGTGTGTGTGTGTGTGTGTGTGTGTGTGTGTGTGTGTGTGTTTGAGTTGGCGTCTCACTCTGTCACCCAGGCTGGAATGTAGTGGCACTTCACGGTCACCCCAGCATCAACCTGGGCTCTGGTGATCCTTCCACCTCAACCTTCCAAGTAGCCAGAACTACAGGCATGCACTACCATGCCCGGCTAATTTTTTACTGATTGTAAAGACGAGGTCTCGCCAAGTTGCCTGGACTGGTTTCGAATCCTCAGGCTTGGGTAATCCACTCTCCTTGGCCTCCCAAAGTGCTGGGATTATAGACTGAGCCACCGAGCCTGGCCAAGAAAAATATTTTTTCAATGGTAAATAAATTCTTAAACGTATTTTCTGAATTCATGGTAATTTTCATATTCAAAATTCTTAAAATAGGAAAGAGTATGAAGTAAACTAGTCTCTTCTTTATCGCTCTACCACTCATAGACAACAAATATTATTGGTTATTTCAGTGTATACTTCCAAAGATAATTGATGGATACCCAAGGAAGTAGGTATACTGGTACCCACCCATTTTCCATATAAATATTAGCATAGTTTGCATGTTGTTCTACAAATTGACATTTTTCAATCCATGCATGTGTACGACTTATTTCAAGTGTTGAGTTTTAGAAGCGGAATGTGTAGGATTATAGCCATGTGTATTTGGAACTTGATATATATCAACAACATGAAGAGTTTGTAATAGTAGGCTCTGCCAGGAACAAGGTATATGAATGCCTCTTCCTTTCCCTATTTCTTAAACAAAGTAGTGCATTTGTGAACTTTTGGGTCTTTGTCAAAGGGTTAGATGAAAAATAGTATCTCAGTGTAGATGTTAATTAACTTGTTTAACAGAAACAGTGTTTTATGGCAGGGGTGTCTTGACAAGAATTTTGAACACGACTCTAAATAAGATTAGATTACTGTGTGAAATCCATTTACTACCATATTTGAAGACAATTTTTTAATGTCACAGAAGTCAAAACCAAGCTGCACAAATGCTGGAATGACACTGATATGGCCACTTGTAGGAAGTTGAATGCCCTAAAATAAAAATAAAGAAAACTCATTGTCACACTTGGTGAAGGGATAAGTAACCATGGAAATCGCTAAGTGCCAGAGGGCCACTGGTCATTTCATGGCAACAAAACGAAACAAAACAAAACAAAACTCTGAGTTGTCCAACTTAGAAATAAGTTTTCACTCACTCACCGATTTTACTTTTTTAAATTGTTTTTTTACAGAAGGGCCAAAGAAAGAAACTCCTGGGCAGCTGCTGGTCGGGGCTGAGCTACTCTGGTGGTGCACTCACCCCTTGACTCTTGGAGGAGAGGAGTTTCAGGCCCTCTAGCTAGCCCAGTGTTGTTGAGAGCCTCACCTTAAATCTGGGGAATGTAGGAGCTTAGATTCTCTGTTCTATTGGGCAGGGGGACTTGCACCCTGCCACTGTGTTGCACCTCCAGTGCTGGATCCCAAACAAGAATGCCTTCTTTCCACTGCCTTTCAAGGTTCTCGTTTGGTTGCCTGTTGCATTATTTGCAGGGTTTATGGTTAAACTGAACGGGCAGGAATAACAGGTCGATACCATCTTTCCTAGATCGGAAATCCCATATAGTACTTTCAAGGATACCATTAAGAAATGAAATTATTTTAACTGTTAATTTTACTTTTGTCTCATTTTATGCTTACTTGTATAGAATACAAAATACAGCAATAAAGTTACGTTATGCATATGAATTATACAGTCATCTCCCCATATCTGCGGTTTCCACTTAGCAGATTCAACAAACTGCAGAGAAAAAATATTCAGAAAAAAACTAAAAAAACCAAAGCAAAACAATACAACAATAAAAAGAATGCGAAGAAAATACAGAATAATAACAATTCATGTAGCATTTCCATTGTATTAGCTGTTATAAGTAATCCGGAGATTAGTGAGTGTTCAAAGGAGGATGTGTATAGTTTAAATGCAAATACTACACCATTTTATATGTGACATGAGCATTTGTGGATTTTGGAACCTACGGGAGCCTTGGAACCAATTTCCTGCATATGCCAAGAAAGACTATGTGTATTAATTGTGTAGAGATAGACAGATAATAAAAAATTATTCTCTGATTGGGATGTACGAGCAAAAAAACTTGAAAATTATTGCGTTTTAGTAGACTGGGTAAACACCATACGTGGGTTTTCCCCAACTCTGATGGAAAATTGGGAAATTTTCCTTCAATTCATACAGTGCTTAAAATTCTGAAACTTTTATTGTAGTACATCTGATTATGTTGGCCAATATTTAGAAAAAGCCATACTTTCCACCAACAACGCTTATTCTTTATAGTAGACAACAACTTTCAGGATAAAGCAAGCAGGCACATAGCTAAAAGATCAATTCCTTAAGCCATGTTTGTTTTATGGGACAAATTACTCTTGATCACTCTTGGCAAAAAACTCTTGGCAGTATTTCCTAACCAAAGGTGATTTTGCTCCCCGGAGAACATTTGATGATCTCTGAACAAAACGGGGGCGGGGGGAGCAGGGACCTAACTGTACTAATAGAGACCAGGGATACTACCAGACATCCTACAATGCACAAGAAAACCCCTCTCAACTCTACTCGAAGAAGAATTAGTACACATACAAAATATTAGTAGTTCTGAGGGTTGAGAAATATTGTGATGGGAGAAGATACTTGACCCAAGCGAGGTCAATCAGATTCTCCTCCCAGAGCATTTAGATTTTGGATGCAGAGCTGCTGGTTACACTACCTTGGAAACTTGAACCTGAAGATATGTTAAAACTAGTTGAGATTTCCATTTTTCAGCCCTGTATATTCATGAGAAGCAGAAATAACCAGTTCTCAAAGATACCAAAGAATAAAGTAGCCATGCAGCGAATCAGGGAGAGAAAGCGTAACAGCTGTGGATATTTTTTACCTTTTGCCTTCATGTGACCCAGTTGCACTTCTATCCTTAGGTACCATAGGAAACCATGTTCTTCCAGTACATTTGAATGGTTTTTACTGCTTGCCACCAAGTGTGGGTAGGAAAGAGTCTTGACTAAGAATGTCATCAAGCCTTAGTTCATTTATCAAATCATCAGACATGAAGTCATTTAATTCAGTTAACTTTTCAACATTGAGTTTACACTTACTATATAACCTAAAATTGGCTTAATGGTCACTATGCCTACTCCACAAAGTCTGCCAGAATTAAATTCAATACATACATGTATCTAATATATGCAAGTACAAATCTCAGAATGATATACATTAGCATAAACTTTATAGCTTACACACTGCTTTAATTTTTAAAAATTCATTTTCACAGTGTTCCTGTGAGCTAAAGAGAACGGTTATCATTAGCCTCATCTTAAAATTGAGGAAATATAGGCTGAGGAAATGATTAAAGCAGTTAAATGTATACAGAGAATACCTGAGATTGTAACCAAGGTGTTTGACATTAGATTTTAAATTAGTCAGAAGATACAAACTCCAGTTGTTTCCACTTTTTATCATGGGAAAGTGATTGTTCTATATCTCAGTCACACCTACCTCATAGAGTATTTTGTTCTTGTTTTTTAGTGAAATTCAATACAAGTATGCAGTTAAAGCACTGAAATACTTTTTTGGCATATGCTAAGGACCCGATTAATAATAGCTGATCTCGTAATCAAGCGTATACTGTTGGAAAACTTATTCCCATTTAAATCTGATTGAATGGATGTGGAAGAGACATTCCTGCAGGCCAATTCCACCTTGTGAAGTCGACTGACACCTGGTGGCTGGGGAGGGAAAAGGCAAAAGCCCTGAGGAGGTGGAGGCTCTCTCCTTGCCTGGGCTACTTGAAA